GCTATCAACCTGGGAATGGCTACCCAACAGGTTTTTAGCAGGAATCTGTAATGGAGCTTCTCTACCCTCTACCAATTCCATTCCATACCACTGTCATTGACTTAGACTTCAGAATGGCTAATGAGAAAAAAAAAACAGAGATGTTTCTAATCTCGACAGGATTTGCAAATGTTTTTGGAGCACACCCAAGATCTAGAACACCCCAGATGTAGATGATCTTCACAAACTGGGAAAGAACTAAATCACTAGAGAAAAACTCTAGTGCAAGACTAGAAAACAGGGAGATCTAGAATGACCCACTCAACATCATCTTCACAAATTGGGAAATCAATGTGGAAAAAGATCTAGATGCACAAGGTAGTTTTACTGCAGACAATGATATATATCCATTTTTGAACTGCATCCTTAAAAAAAGGTCTAGGCAAACCGACAGGAGTTCAGTAGATAGCAGGGAAGAGTTGTAAGAGTTCTAGAAATCCTGAGAGAAAAGATTAAAATAATTAGGTTTGCCTAGTGTAGAGAATGAGAAAAGTGAGGGAGAACCTGATGACAGCTAGTGAGCATTTCCATGTCCACCAGGAGAGAAGAGGTGCCTAACTTACAGCAAATGAATACTGCAAAGAAATAACAACTGCCCCCGCACCAACCCTCCCTGCCAAACATTAAGGACAGTTCTAGGTAATTGCTGAATACACATACTTTAACACCAGGTTAAATATCTGTCAACTTTAAGTGTTTTAGTGGACAGGTGGGACCAATCAGTTAATTAGGTCCCAGTGCTTTTAGGACTGCCACAGTACTTAAGTTATATACATTAATTATTTTTTAGCTTCTCCAGCAAACAAAAATCAAGAAGGTAGAGAATACTACACAGCAGCAATAAACACAGTAATTAAATCCAAGATCTCCTTCAGTGCCTTTCACAATAACATGGCAACAGACTGTATTCCTGGAACAGTGTCGACCTTCTTGCATCCTGCACGAACAATTTTACCATGCCCACAGACTTCTAATTGGCAGTGACTTCTGTCTTAAATAGCTAAGGCAAATTTAGTAGCCAAATACATAGGACTTTTTCAGAAAAACTAATAAATACCATTTTGTATATGAGAGATCACTATCTTGCTATCTATTTGACGGAAGTTTCTCTGGTAACAAAGTTAAATATTTCCAAAACAATGCTTTCTAAATATGGGTACAATTTATTGGCGGTGTTTTCAAATTAGACAAAACAAGCACCAGTGCAACAGTAGGATACTGTTGTGCACAACACAGGGAATCTAATATGGAAAAATGAATGGAGTGTATGTATCAGTAACAATAAAATAGGAATGATACTGCCGTGATTCATCAACCTAAGATTTCCAACTAGCATTTACAATGGGCTTGATGCTAAAACCCTCAGACCTTTCTTTGGAAAGTGCAATGCTTTTTATAAATTGCACAGCATTTTAAATAACACATTGTCCTTATATGGCCTTAAGGCACAGAACTTCCAGTCACTATAAAATCTAGCTTACACTTCTAAAACCGTATCAAGAACAACAGCAGCAACAAAAAAAATCAAAATACTGAGAACTTTTCACTGATACCACATTTCTCAAGTAGGACACCTTGATTGTCAGCAGTTTTTAAAAAAATTAGTACTTTAATGAATACCACCTGAAGTGCTCATGTTCTCTGAAGAATCAGGATCAAGATAGGCACCACCTGGCATGGGGAAAACTCATGAACCTAGTGCTGGTGTGCAAGTGGCTTGAGACATGCTAAAACAGCATCAGAAAATGGTCTAGTACCTTCACACTGTGATTTCTGGTCTGTGCAGTAGACACAGCCTCTTCCCTAGAATAGTTGGTGAACTAAGTTCAGGGAAAAAGGCATACACAAATTCAAAGTGGAATTATATATATGCCATGACAGAAGAAAAAAATTTGTATGTACAAGTAATTAAAGGTAGCCTATCTATCTGTTTCATCCCTCCCATCACCTTTTCCCTGTAAGCTGATGTCCTAAACATTAGGTCAAGTTGCTCCCTCTCCTTATTCTGCACATGCAACTGAATTCTGTATTATGTAGTGCAAAAAGGACCAACTTCAACTGGATTAAAAGCAACTCCCTAAAATACTCCCAGAACACCCTGTGGCTTGTTGATTGTGAAACCCTCCAGAGATACACCAGAAGTCTGGATCCCCTCATGTTGAGATAGCCCACTCCGAGCAGCTGCTCTAACCGCTGAGCAACCATACAAAAGCAAAGCTTCCCTGCCACTTGTGTTCAAAGTGGCCCGATACCACCTTGGATTTTGACGGAAATAGCTTCTGTCTCTAACTCCAAAAGAGCATTTGGGGCTACAAATTCCAGGTTCAGCCACAGCAAGGAATACAGTCCAAGTTAAAAAGATTTTCATCATTGTTATTTCTTCCCTTTGTTTTTTTGATCCAAGTGTCACAAGCTCTTTTTAATTCACTCTCCACCAACACAGGAGGATATTATGTCCTTCCCTGTGGGCTGCAAACTCCACGCGGGGACCAAGATCTACAAAAGACAGGTGCCAAAAGATTTGGTATCAGTCCAATTTCTGGATCTACACTCAAAATGTCACAGCAAGAATATAACTTCCCTCCCTCACAGGGGATGCCAGATGCCTGCGCAGTAAAATGGTGAGGGCCACATTGGTGCTTAAGATAAAATATCCAAAGAGGCAAATAATCACCCCCACAGGACATGTCTATAATTCTTGAAATATTTAAACCTAGTGCAGTGTTTAAGACTAAACCTTACTAGGCCTGTTATCAGAAAGCACTTCTACACCTGAACGTAGTTGAAGGTTTTGCAAGATAAAAATGCTTCAGCTGCTGACGTACCATCTGGCAGCTCTCCGTGCATCCCATTCCTCCTCCCTTGAGAGGGAGGGACAGGAGAAAAAGAGAGGAATAGTGTCCTTGATAAAACTGATCTGGAAAAATCTCCCTTTAGATGTAGAATGACATTCCAAATTACTACTCTGAATGACAAAACCCTGCATGCTTATGTGGGCAGAGGGATCAAAGTTGGATCAATAAGAATAACAAAAAAGGACTGTGTTTATTCAAGATAATGAGTAGTAAAACAAACCTCACTGGTTCACACCTTAAAAGGTACTGGTCATCTGCTAAGACTGCCGCCCACATGAGGTTAATGAAAATGACAACGCTGAGCATTTCTCCCACCGATGAAGTTACACCAAACTCAAAATTATCTGAAATTCCTTTGGTCAAAATCACTCTCTGTCTAAATATAACAAGCTAGAATGAAGACCCTTTCATCTTCAATATATAAAAAAAAATGGGGTTTGTTCTACATCTGCATAAGGGTTAAAATCACCACAGTATTGCCCTTGCTGCTATAAAAGACTACCACCGGCAGGATCTCTGTGATTATAATCCGTTATAAGATGAGAAAGTATTTATGAATAGCAATCACTTTTGCAGGAATGTAAATTTCTGTGCAGAAACCAAGGCGTGTCTGGGAGAAAAAGCAGCATATAATGAGATTTTGCTGACATTTCATAATCACAAGGACAGACTCTAGCACCAGGAAAAAAGGAGTACTTGTCTCTCTCTCAAGAACAAGATGTGATGCGCAGGTTGGTCGGTCTGCTGCCACCACCCTGCTACCAATACTTGTCTGTGTCCTTTCCCTGCTCTCAGTCCCTCAGGAACTGCTACAATCATATTTGTCTGGCCTGAGCAGCCTGATACGTCACCCTGTCTACCAGCAACAAAAGTGCAGCATATCCTAAAATTCAGGGCACAGGGCCAAAAATGCCCAATCAGGAGTCACACTTGTCTTAAATGACTAGGGTTCAAGGCCATAGATTTAAAAATCTAGATGGTAGGGATGATCCGTTATTCCTTGAGGAAGGAAAAAAAAATATATATATATATATATATATATTAAAAAAAAAAAAAAAAGAAGATAAGGATCTGTCATCATTTCTTTATCCCAGTATAATGGGATTACCTTCTAGTGGGCTCAGATACTGGTAGAAGCAGCTTGTAATGTCTATGGCTGTTGCCAAAATACATCATGCTGCTGTATAGCAATCTCTATGTAACATTAATCAATTCTGCTTGCTGCAGCAGACCATCTGCTTTGCTCACACCATAGTACGCTAACGCATACTATCTGCTTACACTGCTGTTGAGCACACTGGGGCATCAGCGTACAAGGCAACCCGAGCCATGCAGAAAATGTTACTATGCTGGCAAAAATTAGAGCTGAAGAACATACATTTCTCCTCCTTACACAGGAAGCAGCATATATAAAAATAGGTTAGAAAACTGATACACATTAATGGAAAATCTAAAAAATGCCTATTGATAATGTGCTACATGTATAATGTCATGCACATATAACATTAAAAAAGACAACTCCACTTTAGTATTCATTTCCTACATTATTTAATTTAGCTGCACTGAGAATGACATACATGTTGTAATTTAACATCAAGCACTGCCTTCCATTCACTCCCTACACAACTACAAATGCAATATGCTCACAGTGCATGACCAAACACAAAACACATTCAAGACAACCAGTGCTCCTTCCCCATCCCAGGCACACAACCCAAGGCATTGCAGTTAGCACCTGCAGAAAGACCACAAAGAACACACCCATAAACAGCATCTCTACCATCTTCCCCTCTGTAAATCCCCCAAATTCAAGCAAGGCAAAAGAGGAGACAACACAGGCAAACAGCACACACAGCACCACCCCTCACCACCCCACCATCAGCTCCACCATGCTGATAAAATCACCCCTTGGTAACACATGCCACTATGCAGAATATAAAACATCCCACCACTGTAGACTGATGTTACTACACACATATACACCCCCCCACACCCCCTTCTCTCGCTGCTATTCCCACCACTATCTGCCTCAGAAAACCTGCTGCAAACATTCAATATAGAAATGAATTCTCACATACACCTCCCCAACATTTGGTGCCTTCTAACCTGTGTGTCAAATCCATTTTCTACCGAGCTACTCTTCCTTGGTGGGAGTCCATCTCCTGCATTTTCTTGTCCGTTAGGAGATTTGAGAGGAATCTGGCTGGAATACAATGGCTTCGTCACCTCCACCTTGTTCCCAAACTTCAGGTAACAGGGCTGCGGGATGGTCCTGGCCGTTGGGACATGCAGGATTGGAGCAGCGCTGTGTACGGGTTTAGGTAGTCCCGATTTCATTTTGGAGGCTACCAGGATGGCTGGCATTTTCTCTTTCTGCTTTCCTAACACGTTTCTGTCAGCAGCAGCAGAGACAGCAGGCAGGGAGAGAGAAAAGGACACGTTGGGGAAGCAGCCTGGTTTACTGCAGGGATCACCAAAATGAGCTTAGAAATCAGAACAAAAATTAAAAAAAAAAAAGAACAACCACACAGTTTAAGCCTAAAATATCTCCCAGCTTTATGCCAGCCTTCCACCTGTTTCCTCTAATTTTATTTTCAGCTCTTCACCACTGTCCTTTTTCCTATTTCTGCTGTTATTTAACTTCCTCTTTCCTTTCTCTGACTCGTATAATTTTCTCCCCTGGAAACAGGAGACTTTCACTCCATTACCGTGTCACTGCATCTCCAAAGTGAGGCAGCCTTTTGGAATTAAAAAAAAAAAAAAAAAAAAAAAAAAAAAGGAACCTGCTGCATATGCTTCCCCTTCCGTATGCACTAGAGAGCGAGTGAGCAAGCAGGATTTCCAGCTTAAGATGTCTTTCTTCAGTCTTAGCCAAGAAGCAGATGTAGCTCAGTGTGCTAATGACTGATGCCCTTAGATACAAGCCTCAGAGAATCAAGCTTCTTAAGCCTTAATAGCTGTGAACAGGACAACGATGCTGGAGCAGAAGGAGAAACGTCCACTGACAGCAATTTTAAATAAAAATATGCCAGTGGCCACAAAATTTCCCGGCTCCCCCAGTGCTGATCATGAAACCCCGGAGGGAGGGGGGGAAATAAATAAATAATAATAAAGAAAAGCATTCAGCTGTCAGACGGAAGGGAAAGCAGCCGCCACTTCATTTTCCCCTCCCGCAGTGTGGCGGGTCCCCGCCCGGCGCAGCTCCGCGCATTTTGCGCGTCTCCCGGGCAGCCGCGGAGCGGGAGGCGGCTGCCTTGGCGGCACGGTGCAGGCGGGGCGGCCCTCGGATTGGTCCTGCCTGCTGGAATCAGGAACAAAAAAAAACACCCCAAAAAAATCAAAATAAATCTCTGTCTCCGCAGGGGGAGGAGCGGTTTCAAGTCCTGCGGCGGGCTGGGAACTCGGCGGCGAAGCGGGCGGCGGGGGAGAGATGCTCTGAGGGCTGCACGGGGGCAGTTTTGTACCGGTTTCTTTTTGAAATTTCAAAATATTAATAATAAAAAAGAGCTTTCAAATAAAAACACCTGGATATGACTCATTGTTCGTTGCTATTCGGGAAAACTCCCGCTGCCAGCATCAACAGGAATTTGAATAAGCACAGTGAGTAATCCAGCCCTATTATAGCAACGCTTGGCACTTTGCTGTGAGGAGCCTTTTCTTTCAGTGTCACAGGTTCCTCCTCAGGCTGCTCTGCAGATACGGGGATCCCTTACAGCGCCCAGATCCCGCAGTCCTGCCACGCATGACACGTTTCTGGGCCGTACATATCCCCCTCTCTGCCCACAGAGCACCGTCCTGGGCCGCGGAGGATTATCAGCATGGAAACGCAGGGCACCAAGAGAGATGCCTTCGGATTCGTAATACGCAGTTTCAGTTATCACATAGGCTTCTTACATTGTATACAGGGAGGGTGCCTCAGAATAATAATCCATGAAGCCAACACCTGACATGGGTGAGAAAGGTGTATTTAAATCACAACCCCAGGTATCGCATTGTTTCCCAAGTAGGAGCACTTCCTTCAACTCCTTATTCTCACCTCACCCACCGCCTCAAGACTGGATCATTGGGTTCCAAGGATCAGAGCGATCCCAGCTAGCAGAGAGAAGCAATGAGCCTGCCCTTGAAATATTTGAAATAGGCACCGGGTGGGCGTCCAACCCCTGGAGCTATCGGGCAGGACAGCACAGCCCCACTGCCCAGCCCTATCTCGGCTGTGAGGAGTGCGTGGGGAGGAAGGCTGAAGCACACTCTGCCACCCTTTTCAAGGGGAGCTGGGTCCTGCCTACTCGACACTCTGACTTCTAGAAAAGTTTTAAATGTGCAAATCCCAGGTTTTTACATCCGAGACTCTTTCAGGTAAAAAAAAAATGAGGCATTTCTGGATAGTAGGTGTCTCCAGGATTAGGATAGCATTTTAGGAAATGCAAATGGGAATCAGATGAGACCTGCACACTGAATCCTTCTGTGGATGTCATCTTAAATGACTTATCCAGGGCTTCATAGTGACTAAGTGACAGAACTGAAAATTAAAGTCAGAACATGTGTTCTATTCATTATAAAGTACTTTCGTTCTTCAACATCGTAATGTAAAATGGTCTCTCTCCATTAACAGAACACAGTACGTGAGGGTTTTTGTTGCTGTTGCTGGTTTAGGTTTGTTTGCCTTTTTTTTTATTTTTTTTTCGTAGGTATCTACCATTAACTAGATTATTTAAAAGCAAAAGCAAAGCCTGGACACACTGTCACTGCAGTCTGCCATCTCTCGCTTAGCACTGGCCCTTAATTTCATAATTCAAGTTCCCACAGTACACATGAAGCTCACATGTTAACTACAGATTTGGTTGTTGCTGGGATTTTTTAGCACATCTGCTTTTGCATATACCAGCTTGGCAGGCTGCTTTGTATTAGCTCAAAGAGGGTAATTTTTGGTGGTTTTAGGAGTAACTGCTTTCACCCTAGTCTCTTTATTGACTAATCTCAGATTGGAAACTGCACATCTCTGTTCACCCATCTCACTGAGGTGATATTCTAATGTTCCCTCCCCTGTCATAACACCAGGCAGTGTTAACTTAAACACAACTGTATAGAAAATGTCAAAGCCCAACAACTCAATAAAGAAAGTCAGATTTACCATATGAAAGGACTGGTAGTTATGGGAGCAGAAATGTGTCAAATGCTCCAATACCATTTCCATTGTTCAGTGCTGAACACTCAGCCTTGCTAGCTAAAAGAAGGTTGGGCCAAAGTATGAAAAACTTGAAAAAGATCCAAGTCTGAAAACAAGGCTAATTTTAGGTCTGTAATAAAATGTAGTAATGTTTAAAAGCTATTAGAAGATCTAATTGACAGCTTTATGTTCTGTTCTTCACTTACACGTTTTATGAGGTTCAGGCCACCAATCCCAGATACACAGAACTTGCCGGGTTTTGTTGTTTTGTTTTCATCTTGGAAAACTGGCTAGGTTACAGGATACCAAAACAAACACAAAGTTAATTTGAGCAAAAGAAAAGGATTCCTTTCATTGCTCCTTGAACAATTACTGAATCTGATCCTATGATGATGGTGGATTGAATATTCCACAGCTAGAGGAAACTATTTCTTGGTGTGCAGTCCTGCCTACTTTAGTGAAGATGATGTCTTCTGAATATACTCCATCTACACTCCTGACAGTTATTTGGCCAAATCAATAACATAGACCTGTTCTTTACCAAAGCTTAATGTGAATTCCTGATAACACATTTGAAGAGTGGCCTAAAATCACCACTTCTCTTATGTATTCAGTAAAAACCAGCTATTTAAGAGAAAAGTTTGCATTAATAATCCATTGTCACCCGATACCTGTGATTGTTTATGTTATGCACATTTTGCTTTATATATCCAAACACTACAGTCTACTGCCACTGAAATGCAACATACTGTATCCAATGGCAGTGCAGCCATAAGGTCATAAATTGTTAACATACCACATTAGAGGCTGTATCTGCAAAGATGGGCAACATCAATTTTGGTCTCTCTTTGGAAGTGACTAGGGGCTTTTGGTTTTGCTTTTAAATAAATATATAATTGATTTTACACGTTTTTAAGGCTAGGATTTTTAAAAGAAACTACTTCTCTTCAACAGTCAATGGGATGTGGGAATCTATTTTCCTTACCTTCTTTGAAAAGCCCATCCAGTTTCCCCCCTGTCCCTGTTTCGAATGACCCATATTTCTCTAAGCTATGAGGAAGTAATATTAAAAAGCAGGCAAATTATCTAAAAAAAAAGCAAGAGCTTCATTCCTTCCTGCCACAAATGTCGGATGAGCCACTAACTAGGGGAACATTCCCTTGCAGCTTTAAGTTTGATGATTATTGTTGCCTAATCACAACATGCCCCCTTATCTGCCTGTGGTCCAGTGAGCATCCATCCACATCCCAAATGGGGGAATATGGAAGGAAAAATGCTATAAACAAGCACTTTACTTCCTTGGTAGAAGAAAAAAAAAAAAAAACAACCCCACAACAACTACTACACAAAAAACCCTAGTGACTTGGCTTACAGGACTGATTTTTAAGCTCAGGAGTTGCCATTGCTCAGGATTCAAGCTGTGGTTACTTAGCACCGTGTAGCGTTATCTCAAGTGCCAAGACTCTGGTGTTGAGAACTAGCTTAATATTCTCAAAATTTTAGTGAGCAGACTCATGTGAACTGGAGACCTTAACACATCAGTGGAAACTATTTGAATACTCTAAAGTTCAAGAGCTTGTAGGCAAGTCAGCACATTGCCCAAAACAAAGCCAGTAAACAGAACAAAACCCAGGGTCAACTGCTCTTGAACAGATGATCTTTATGAATGAGATGAATGTTTCAGGAACAGTAAAACTATTGAAGCTGCCTTGATTGCTCATACACTATCAATTAACAACTGAACAGGGTCTCTAGACCCAAGTGGAAAGAAAATGCTCATATGGATTCCATGTGGGTACTGCAAGTAAAATTAAAAGCTTTATGAAATGTAGCAAAGGATCAGAGAATCAGACCTTCCTTTCAACTTGTGGTTAATATCCATCCTCAATGAAGCCAAATGTTACATTAGTGTAAGTGGAAAAGCTATGCAGAATTATTATATCAATTAGAACACCTCGTTACCTGGTCTGGTGCTTTAGAACTGCTGATGGAACTAAACTCAAGGCTTGAAAATACCTGGATCAATGCTATCCTTGTCTTTTAGGCATTATAAATGTATCTGAAATCTCCCAGAAAATTGTTTTAAGCCAAGGTGAATACTCCTAAAATGCCACCATGTACTGCCAGTATCAGAAGGCTTAATTGTTCTTACAAAACCATTCTCATCAAACTTTGCTACTGCCAGGCGGCCAGCTGTCCTATAGACTGTGGGGTTAGTCAGCCTTGGTACAACTCCATCAGTGTCAGTGAAGTTATGACAGGAATAAATATGGACCTATTTTTGGTACTGCAGGCATTTTGCACATTCACATCCATCTTTTGTCCCTGATCAAAGTATCGAATATGTAAAAGCCTGATCCCACCTACAGATTTACATTACTGTTTCAGGAAGGAACCCATCAAGGTCTAAATGGGAGCAAGCTCCTAATTTTTTTGTTGTGCCCCCACAAGAGGAAGGGTAAAGGTTAGAAAAGAGGAATGGGGGTAGAAGAATTATATAATTTGGCATCCTCTCACTATAGCAATTATAATCTGTACATGTGAGTTCTTTATATAGAGGAGAGAGAAAAGGAGGAAACCTTGGTTCTGTTCCCAGTTCTTTTCACAGAAATCTTGTCTGCATTACAGTAATTCTGATCTAAAATTCCTTTTGTAATCCCCTGATACATTTCTAATTCACACTGGGTTTAATTCTACCTCATTCTACAACGGTGTCATGTTTTAACAAGTACACAAGCTAAGTTCCACCTGGACAGGAACACCAGTTACACTCATTTTCAGAAGATACATAGGAAGTTTCACTAGACACACTAGTGATACAGGCAGACACTTTTGCATGGTGACACAAAATGGTGCCATTTTAAATGAGCATCTTCTGAACAACACTCGTATTTAATCCTGTTTCTGTACCAGCACACCTCATGGTTTTGTAATATAAGTATGAACAGTAGGAGCTGTTCATGTTCACAACTGCACTGAAATACTTTTCCCAC